TTGACTTCTATTCTTAAACTATCCTCACTGGGTGTTACATCATGAATCAAATTCAGAGGCTCAGTGTTCTGAGATTCTTCCTCAATAGGAATGGTAGCTGCCATTTCTTCTGCCCCTGCCTCCAAGAAATTTTCAGATGCCACTTGTTGCATTCCTTGCTGAATAGTATGTTCTGCTTGTGTGTCTGCTAACAGTGAACATGTAAGATACAAGAAACAAACCCATGACATCAACAATGTTTCTCTTGAGGCCTGCTCTTTTAATCAGGAGAGAGGTTGCCATAGTCGAGTGTGTAATGGGTTGAAGATTCAGGTTTGAGCCCAGGATAGCCCAGGCTAGTCCAGGCTAGGTTCAGACCCTTTATCCCGGAGGGTGGGGACTCCCATAAGAAAAGGTCAGGGATAATCATCGTCTCACTTAGGGGTGCAAATCAAGGATTTTGGTCTCACTTAGGGTGGTCAGGCCACTATTTTTAGCTGTTAAAGTATCGTTTAGGGTGCACTCAGAGCTAACGATTAAAGAACGCTCTCATTTCTGTTTTCAGGCTTAATTTCTGCCATTCTGTCAAGTCCAGTCTACTAGCCAAGGCTCCTTTCCTAAACGGCAGCTGGTAATCAAGCCTATTCTGTTTTAAGGGGTTTATCTTTTAGGGGTCAAATAAAGCCCTAGCCACACCCAGACTGGTCTCCTTTAGAGGTTAGATTCAAATTTTCCCACGGGCATCACCGCCGCAGGCAAGTGTTTCCACAGCTTTTTCGAGTTCTCCCAAACTTTCACGAGTGTTGCTATGACTCGATAGAAACACGGAGAACATGTTTTTCTATTTCTTTTAGAAAACACCGTGACAAAAACAAGGAAAACAACTTGTTAACTTTGATTATCAAAATGTAAATCTCTTTGCTCATGCCATCATTATGTCAACAGCTCATGCTAGTTCTGTCTTTCTATCGAGTTACAGAAACACGATTTTTAACCAATCAGCTCACGTATTTTCTTAGGAATGTTTTCTGATAAAGATTACTTCATAATAACAATAAAAATAATAATAATAACAATAATGTCATTGTCTTTGTCATTGTCATTGTCACTGTCATCGTCAGTGTCATTGTCATTGCCACTGTTATTGTTATTATTATTATTTATATACTTGATCATGTCATCATTTAGGAAGTGTATCTAGTGCCTTATTATTCTCACCTGTTATATCCATTAGAGAAAGTTTACATTGCAAATAATCATCTTCCATAACAGTTGTCTTCAACTTGACTAACTCTATGCCAAATCTTCTTCGAATGTCATCAGTCACAAGGCATTCCTCAACAACTGCATTAAGGTGATCAGAGCAATAGTCTTCCCACAGGCGTTCAAGAATTTCAAGGGTGCGACACCCAACTGTGATTAGTAAACTACCGTCACGGGCTGCCACTATTGGTGAGTTTAGAATTCCTTCTAGGTAACTGCAAAGTTGACAAGGTATATTCTCAACTGGCACTCCATCTGCCCTTGTCTCAAAGAAAGTTTTGGTCATCTCAAACATCAGTTTTTGCTTTACTTCCTCCAGTTCTCTTGGATCAACATTTTGTTCATCTCTAAAGGTAACACTGTCTACGTCAATTGCAATGGTTAAAGTGCCTTAAAGAAAACAAAATAGTTACTGTTAACTTTGCCAATGAAAAAGAGCTAGTACCTTTCCCTTGAAAACTGTCTTAATCACTAGTTTTCTGCTGCTTTCAGCAAGCAGGATACTGTCATGTCCATGTTTTTCAGTTTGTTTATTCAAAACTTGTATTAATTACCATATAATCCTGGTTATGAGCCCTGGCTCATATATTTTTGTATAAGGGATTGTGGGTGGACTTGACATGTAACAGGAGCTTGTATCTGGGTGGGCGATTTTAAAAGCAACGTTGGACAATCCCATCCTGACAACAGTTGACCTAAAGACTTTGATGAGGAATAATATATTGTAAGAAAGCCAGTTTGAATAAACAAATTGATTTGCACTGTCCTTGCAATGTTTTAAGGGTGCAGCACCCTAGTGGTTACTGCACTGCACTCAGCATCGATTGTTGTCCTAGCATGAGCCTAGGGTCACGGCAGTGGTGCTCAACTCCAGCTTTATGGCATCAAGTAAATAATCTTGGGGTATCAAGTAAATAATCAGGAGGGCAACTGCTTTTCACAGGCAAGCAAAACGTTTTGAAAAAACTTTCCCAGGCTGGCAAAATTGTCTGCAAAGCCAGTCAATTTGCCAGCAGGTGCCTGGCCTTTATTGAAATTCCTCACTATTGTGAGTTCAGTGTTTTCTCCCGTGGGTTGAGATTTCCTAACCTAAAAGAATACTCTTGATGGTCCGTGTGTACAATATAATATCTGGAACTGACAAGCTGACCTCGTGTAAAGGTGTTAGTTGTCGCAAAATCATCCAGCTTTCTGCTGATATTTCCAGCTTCATTCTTAACTTCATTCAGCATGTACTTAATGTTGTCCTCATCTTTTTTCCATTCCTTAAGGAGCTCTGTATAATATTGCTCAATTTCAGGCTCCATGCATTCAACTTGAAGACTGTCAATTTCTTTTTCATAACTTTGTCCTCCTAATCTTACCAGAGTGCCATGGATGTTCTGCCAGAGAGTACTGAACTCTAAATCAGAAATGGAAGCCTTCTCTGCATGACCATATATGTCATTTCTGAAACATTTCAGACGGACTATATCAGCCTCACGGCTCATGTCTGTTGTAGGGGGAGCTCTGTCCCATGATTGTGTCGTTGTAGGAGGTTCCAACCCACAGATATGCCTTAGGAGAACTATCAAAAGAGTGATATCAAAGTTTGCCAATGATGCTGATGTAGCTATGGCAGGGTACAGTTTGCTCCATTGCACTGCATTGAGGACTCTTTGCTTCCTCAGTGTTCGTAAAGTTGACCTATTTGCTGCCAAAACTGCATGAAGTCTTGCTGATGCATGTATGTTATCAAATGTGTCTCTCAGGGCCTGACAGCCAAAATCAATTAAAAGACGACACAGTCGAGCGTAATTGGTTGCTTCCTTCTTGGGTGCTCTTTTCGGTGTGGAAGAAGCCATGAAATGGCTGGTTCCAGCTAATCTAATCAGATGTTCAAAAGCAATAAAAAAATACCAGCGAGTGTGTATTAAAGTCTTGACTAAATAGTAACCTACAACTTACACTGTAACTATCAATCCGCTAAACAATTAAAAGTTTGCTGCTTTCTTGGTTGACACTTGGAAGAAAGGGTCACTTATTAAAATTATGTTAAAAATGTGTTATAACGGTGAAAAATTTTTGTTGTCTTTGAACATGAGGCATTTGGTAATTTAACTGTTTATTCCAGATTATGTAAAGGTGTAATTTCGTTTTTGTCAGGACCAATGGCCAGTTTGACAACACTTTGTCTGTCCATTCCGTTATTTTGAACCCTGATGCCCCGCCCCACCCCCCACCAACCCTTCCAATATCCTGGACCTATACATCTGTAGACAATTTACAAAGCTGACTACATCATTGGGAGTTTAAGAATGGCAATGGCAATGGCACTAAACAAAAGGATTAATGAGCAGTACAATGGCTGTTTACATGCGTTATAATTCTCAGTACATTTCTTTGCCATCCTCTGCAAAACAACAATGTAAAATGACCAAATTTGCGTTGTCTGAAGAACATGAACCACAACGGTTAATTTTCACAATTTATATTTCAAATTTTATGCTGTGTTCCATATTCAGTTTCAAGATAGTTTTGACCAGGAGAAAAAAATAAATGACTTTGGAGTATTGTGAAATTCGTAGGTAAAATATAAACGACATTGCCCTTGGCATCGGCATCATAATTACATAAACTCCCTATTTGCACGTGTTAGACTGCTTTGCATCTATGCCAACCATTGCAGATTATCCGATTCGACTCCAGGATACAGACTTAATGTCTCGCTATCCAGTCTCCCATATCTCCCAGATATAAATGAAAGCACCTTGTGCATTTCCAGAAAATATCCACACCCACCCCAAGGAAGGTTAACAGAAATTCCAAGGGGGAGGGGGGTTTCAAAAGCCCATTTTTTTTAAAGAAAAGTATGACACTGAAATGGAATTTCCAGAGGGGTGGGGGGGTTCAGGGTAAAAACCTTCCCCGGGAGGGGTATGGATATTTTCTGGAGCAACACAATTTTTTACACTTTTAAATAATATACGTGAAAAAATTACTCGATTCTGATCGGCTGAGAGCAGTGCAGTTCAAGTGTAACACCAGTGCAAAAAGTGTAACACCAGTGCAAATTACACATCGTAATTCTGGATTATGATTGGCTGAGAGACAATAGGAAATTTGCTAAGCCAATGATATCATGTAAAATGATAACGAAAATTTTGTGCGGAAACTTTGAAAAAAGTTTTCTCGAATGAAAAATATGGCTTCAAGAAAGATCTTCTGGCACTTCCGCTGCGCGAATTTTTTTATTTTTAGATTATTAATAAGTAATCATACGGTTTTTCTCGTTCAGTCTGGAATTAATTTGCACTTGTGAGTTTTTCAAAAAGCTGAAATTGCACTCGCCCAAGCGGCTCGTGCAATTTCAGCTTTTTGAAAAACTCACTCGTGCAAATTAATTCCA